AATGTATTGTTGGCTATTGCTACAAATATACCCCAGCGACTTAAGACTGCTTTTGTGCTTCATGGTCACATATTTTACTTAAACTGTCACCTTCATTTCTGATGTTTGTTTGAAGAAATCTGTCATGAGAGTGTGCAGGGAGACTTCAGATAAAAAAACGCAGACTTGTTAAGAAATGTTTACTCAATGAAATCATGGCACGGTGGCAGTTCGGTTCTTTATTATTAGTAGTTGTAGCCATTGCAGCGTGAATGTCGTCTCAGCTATCACTGCAGGAGAATGTGTTGGCGTGGATGTGCAGCTACGCCGAGTGTAGTTGTGCCTGGTCGTAATTTTAGTTGGTGCAGCAGGTGTAAATATTTATCGTAAAGCTGGACATTGCAAAGCCCAGCATAGGGCTTACACCCAGCTTTTTTACATCTAGCTGGTGCAACCGGCCCCAGATGTTTATGCATGATGGGCTAATGAAACTTTGACTCAACCGATTCGTTCAAAACACGGAATCAATCAGCAATCTTGTTAAGAAATGTTTACTCAATGAAATCATGGCACGGTGGCAGTTCGGTTCTTTATTATTAGTAGTTGTAGCCATTGCAGCGTGAATGTCGTCTCAGCTATCACTGTTGGCGTGGATGAGCATCATGTTGAGCGTAGTTGCGCCTGGCTGTAGTTTTATTTGGTGCAACATGTGTAAATATTTATCGTAAAGCTGGACGTTGCAGGGCTTACACCCAGCATTTTTACGTCTAGCTGGTGCAACCGGCCCGTGGTGTAATGTCTTCACTGTTCTGGTGTCAAACAGATCATTGACAAGAGCAAGCGCGACCCGTCGGAGGAGATCGAGATCCTGATGCGGTACGGCCAGCATCCCAACATCATCACGCTGAAGGACGTGAGTGACGCGGCTCTGGTCTCTGGTCTCCAGCTGTGTGTGTGGCTCACTCAGGTGTGTGTGTGTGTATCAGGTGTACGACGAGGGCCGCTTCGTGTATCTGGTGACGGAGCTGATGAAGGGCGGCGAGCTGCTGGATAAGATCCTCAGGCAGAAGTTCTTCTCGGAGCGAGAGGCCAGCGCTGTGCTCTACACCATCACCAAAACTGTGGACTACCTGCACTGCCAGGGGGTGAGAGACGCTTGCCCTCACTCTAAACACTCCACGCTTAACAGGAGGCACAGCCGTGTTTACCACGAGCTGTCTGGTGTCTGCTGCTGCTGGTTATGTTAGCTCTACAAAAGCAGAATTGCAAAGTGATAATTTTTAACATTGTTTGAATTTATCATCGTAATCATAAATGTTTGTGACCATTCTGACACTTCTTCATGATAGTTTAGTGAAGTAATTATCACACACATGTGACCCTGGTCCACAAAACCAGTCATAAGGGTCAACTTTTTGAAATTGAGATTTATACATCAATATTTGGCTGAGATACAACTATTTGAAAATCTGGAATCTGAGGGTGCAAAAAAATCTAAATATTGAGAAAATCATCTTTAAAGTTGTCCAAATGAAGTTCTTAGCAATGCATATTACTAATCAAAAATTAAGTTTTGGTGTATTTGCAGTAGGGAATTTACAAAATATCTTTATGGAACATGATCTTTGCTAAATATCCTAATGATTTTTGGCATATAAGAAAAATTGATAATTTTGACCCATACGATGTATTGTTGGCTATTGCTACAAATATACCCCAGCGACTTAACACTGCTTTTGTGCTCCAGGGTCACATATTTTCTAAACCAGGCAAAATTGCACATGGTCTTGACGGCTAGAGATCATCATGCAGTTTACTCGTATGAAGAAATGCAGAGTCAAATTTGTCATTTGAAATCTAGCTGTGTTGTAAATATTATCTAGTAGACATGTACAGTTTGGTGAGGAAGTCTGCATGAAAATTATTTTAAGACTTATTAGGACCCTCTAGTGGTCACAGTTGTGAATTACTGTAGACCTCATTTACAAGAATAAGTTATTGTATATATGTCAGTCATAAACATAATTACTGTAAAATACTGTTCATTTCTATTATTTATTCCCCCATCTGCCAGCTCTCAAAATCTCATCAGTTCTGCACAAATCATGTAAATGGCATGTTGAGAATGCAAAGAACTGACTATTTTACCTATAATAATCCAGGAAATGAATTATTAAAAGGAAAAAAAAGTTATTTGGAAATTTTCAGAAAATCAGATTTGAAAAGTTTCATCGTCAGCTTCATCGTCTGGATTTGTAATTGGGCTGTAGGTTAACTAACAGCTCTTCTGATACTCAATTGATCAGTTGTTCTAAACATGACGTTACAATAATCACACATGCTTTCTTATTAATGAAGGACAGTAATCCTGTTAAACATACTGTACATAGAAACATCATTACTTGTGCTATATATTGGAATTCAATGAATTATCCAAGTATTTGATGTTTAACAAGGATAGTTGCATTTAATTGCTTGCTTTTATTTTGCTAACTGAATTTGCATTTTAAAATGAGACGCCTCTCTACTTTCACTTGATGTGTCAGTCTGAACACGTTTACATTTAATCATTTATCATGCTTTTATCCAAAGCGACTTACAAATGAGGACAATAGAAGCAATCAAAATCAACAAAAGAGCAATGACATGCAAGTGCTATAACAAGTCTCAGTTAGCTTAACGCAGTACATGCAGCAAGTTTTTTTAAAATTATATAATAAATAAAAAGAAAACTGATAGAATAGAAAATCAATAGAGCAAGCTAGTGTTAAGAGGCCTTTTTTGCTTTTGTTAATTGTATAATAATAATAATAAAAGAAAACCGAATACAAAAAGAATAGAGAAGCTAGTGTTTTTTTTGTTTTTTTTTAAAGAAAGCAAGCAGTTAGTAAATGAATAGTGTGCAAGTCTAAAAGGGGCACGTTTTAGCATACACTAATGGCCTTCGTGAAGCATATTCATAATTCATTCATATTCAGAGCTCCCATGCTTGATAAGTCCACAGAAGTCTCTACATGGCATTTTGCATGCTTTAAAATGTTTTATGATTTTTTTTTTTGATTATATACTGTGTATTGGTGCATGCAAATGACGTGAGTGGTTTAAATACTCTGTCCTAGTGTGAAACTGATTGGGGGGGGGAGTCACTCTATTTAAGCAGATTCAGAGCACATAGATACTGAGCTATCAGAAGTCTCGACTGACTCTTAGTCTTAACAGTCTCGTGTGAGCAGCAGCGCGTTTGCAGATGCTGATGCGGTGACGATCTGCTCCTCCTGCAGGTGGTGCACAGGGACCTGAAGCCCAGCAACATCCTCTACATGGACGATTCAGGGAACCCCGACTCCATTCGCATCTGTGACTTCGGCTTCGCCAAGCAGCTGCGAGGAGACAACGGGCTGCTGCTCACTCCCTGCTACACGGCTAACTTCGTGGCTCCTGAGGTGAGGCTCTGCGGCTGCGCATGCACCGACAGACAGACAGACAGACCTCGCTCACGTGTCTCTGATGTGCTGCAGGTGCTGATGCGGCAGGGCTACGACGCCGCCTGCGACATCTGGAGTCTGGGAGTCCTGCTCTACACCATGCTGGCGGGGTCTGTGTGACATCTGCAGAGCTTCTCTTCTGTTACTGACAGAGTGGAGATGCTTTAAAACAAACAGCTGTCAATTCGGCATTTTACTGATAACATGGTGTGCGTAAAGGACGGTGCCATTCTTAAATAAACAAAAAGAGCTGTTGCTGTGAAATGGAGAGTAATGGAGATGAGTAAAGAGAATGCAGTCAAGCCAGCTGTGGGTTGATGTGGCAGAGAAAGCCAAGCTTTTCCAATTGAGAAGTTTTTCATTGGTTTGTTTTGATTAAAGAAAAAAATCATTGTTTTAGAGTTCGGAGGTCTCCTTTCCAAAATGTTACCTGTTGAAACAAAATAAAAGAGATGTTAATAACATTATTTGAATCATGAGAGAACATTGTGCTAATACACTTTGCAAATAACATTAAATTATTCTTTGCTGTTTTTTTTTTTTTTTTTCTTAGATGCAGTTAAAAACTAAATTGATGAATTTTTGCATATTGCGTTTTGTAAAAAATAAATAATAATACTAAATAAATAAATTTTAAAAATAGTGTATTTAACATTTTCATATAATGACTCAAAAATGTGCTCCTTGCATACACCCTACTTTATTTTTTCATCCGTTAGAAATAAAATTATATTGCAAATAAATAAACACCGTCTTGTCGACAGTAACTGCACGCCTGCAGTTTTACATATGATTTTCGACAAACTCCAAATATTAAATATTTTCCTCATCCATCTGAAACAAAACTATTTATTTTATTAAATTACTGATTAAATATGTATTATTTGTTATATAGACTTTTTGGATCAATCATTAGGCTCTTCATAAACTAGTACTGTTGTATAGCTGCTGTTTTATTTCTGTGTATTTTTCACAAGACTGTAGATCAAAATAAAATAATGCTTGATAATATTAATTTTGAAATGAGAGTAATCACGGTCTATTTTGAATTTAATAAAACATTTTAACTTGGATCGTTTATAAAACAAATGAAAAACATCAAATCCAAATACGTAACAAAATGACAAAGAGGTTTTATTTAATTTTTTATTTAACGAAGAACTTTATTAATCTGAGATTAAAAATCTATTTCACAGGAGTGTCCTGGCCAAAAATCTCTTGCATTTCTTGCCACAGTGATTTAATTACTACAGCATTAATATACAGTCTGACACATTACAGCAGTAGGCTGAACAATCAATGGATTTCTTAATTTTAAGAAATAAAATACAATTTCATTTCATTAAAAAAAATGAAATCAACTACATTCCATAAATAATTTGTTTCTATATTGGTACATGATTGGATGCATTACTTTTTTTTTTTTTAAACAAAAACCAAACAAACATTGCATGGAAACTGGATTCTGAACTAGCCAGATAAGGCTAAATGAATGCGAATGCATGTGAATCCTGTGTTTCTCTGTGCAGGTACACACCGTTCGCCAACGGCCCCAACGACACGCCGGAGGAGATCCTGCTGCGCATCGGCAGCGGGAAGTTCTCCCTGAGCGGAGGAAACTGGGACTCGGTGTCCGACTCCTCGAAGGTAGCAGACGAGTTATCATGCGTTCATGACGAGTCACAGTTCAACAACATTCCTGGCTTAAAATATATATCTGGTGCAGGCGACCAGTCAGTGGCTGGCTTGGCCTTTATGGTACATATGAAGAGTTCATTTACAAAAACCGATAAACGCCACTTTAAAAAAAAAATTGGCTGATTGCCATGCATTATTCTCCACACATCTGAACCCTAAACACGTTTTGTCAAAAAAGCCGGTTTTGTCCACTTTCAAGTAGGCATGGGACGATAACCGGTTTCAAGGTATACCGCGGTTTGGAAAAGTCACGGTTTCAAAACCACTAAAATTTTCCGTTATACCATTCATGCGGTATGCGCAGTTTTTTAACGTGTCTTCAAAGACGGAAAGTGCAGGACTTCCTCAGTTGTGTGCAGCGAAGAGCATAACGAGTCACACGACCCCTCCTCCTCCGGTTGCTGCAAGCGGTCAGTGAGAGTCACCAGTGTGTAGGATGGCCGAAAGAGATGAATCCCTGGAACTTTTTCCCCTGTCGAAAAAGACGAAGTCTTGTCCTATGGGAATTTTTCGGGTAACGTAGAGTAACCATGTTCCGTACACAACGGTGTTCCGTACAGATGACATTTTAGCGCCGACCGCTAAATAAATACTTCCAAGTCGAACATAAACTACATATTTGTCATCTTCGGTTTTCTCCCTCTTTCACCCTCGATCAAGACAGAGACCCACCCGCCGTTTGTTTCAGTGTTGAAATAAATATTATTTGGCTTGCTACCGAGGCAGATAACATGGCTAATTAACTAGCTAACGTCAACTAGTTTCCTCCAAAAAGTTTTTTTTTTTTTTTACCCAGACATTTAAAAATAACATATTTTAGAGCTGTAATCGCAATACCGTGATACCGTGGTATTTTTATCTAAGGTTATCATACCGTCAGAATCTCATACCGGCCCATGCCTACTTTCAAGTAGGGATGCTCCGATCGATCGGCCGGAGATCGCTATCGGCCGATAATCATATTTTATGACTCGATTTGGTACTCACTAACTTGGCCGATCTCACGAACCGATCGCAGTTTTATGACGTCAACACGTGACGACGTACATGATGCGTGGGGACATAAATGATTTGGCGCCGCAGTCATGTCATCGCCGGTGTGG